CCTAAGAGGTCTGCAGCAGCCTGAACAGCTTTTTCTTCATTTAGAGGACGAATTGCGACATTTGTTGCATGACCATAAATCTGTCTTTGCAGAGTTGTTGTGAACCGGTGGTTAGCCTGTAAAAGAATCAGAGGAAGGAAGATTATAGAAGTAAGAAAATATAATTCTGTCAGCAGAAAGTGGTGCAAATTTGGAGCGTTCCTGTTCCCATTAATTTGGGTATCAAACTTTTCTTTGTATGACACATAAGTAGCGAACTCAATACCCCTGTTGAAGAGTCTCTGTCTCAAGAAAACCATTTGTTTCACATAAGAATCATTGAGTGGCATTATATCAGATACACATTTTTGGAACCATGAGAGACGTATATTTTTATTGATTTGGTAAAAGTAAATTTATCAATCAAATCATCAAAACTAATCAATTGAATAACCAAATTAACAAATACATTTAATCTTCATCTCATAAATATGATGAGCACCCTTTGTACCATTTCTTATTTTATCACTTTCTACCATTATTGGAAGGGCAAAGGCACTACAACAGAACCAACACACCGATTATGACACGAGCATCAAAGTTGGGTACAAAATCAAAATGAAACAAAAATATCATGTATTGATATGAGTTGTTGGAAAGTTATCACTTTTAACATTCGATTTACAGAGCCTAGATATAATGATTACTTCTAGTGCATAGTTCTATGCCATATTCTTCCTGGTGAGTCTCCATGATAACATGATTCAAGAGGATGGAATATTGTTCCATGTAATAAATATTCCCTGATTTCTTTACATTACTAAACCCAAAACACTGTTTTTTGACAGCTTTATTACAACATATTATTGTACACTCCTTGAAGCAAATGCCCCCCTCTGCATCACTGTAATACTTCTCATTTCCTAGCTATATACCTCCAGTCCATGACTACAGGTTGCAAACCGAAGATTGTTAGGAACATTTCCTCATAAACATTGTTGTCAGGTATTTTCTCAATCTAATCTAACAGGTTCATCCCTATGCTTGTTATGCTAAGCACCATAAATAATTAGCTTGACAGATAACAAGTTCTTCATAGAGAGGCTTCCACTGGTGGAAACTGGTAAATATTAAGGTGCCAGATTATTTCAAAACAAAGTCCACTTCCTAATGAAATTAATCAGATTTCAGTTAAAAAATTGGTAAACCCTAGCAAAGAAATCAGTAGCAGTAAAGTTTGATGCCCTGTTTATCACTATTACGAGTTAGTACTAGGAAAAAGTGAAAAGGGATTGCAAAATCCAGTTTTTGGCATTTCTCCTATTCTATTGACAAAAAGTGTTTGACGAAGTAAAACAACCATATTCTCCTAGACATGCTAATACAAGCAACTGCATCCAACCAAGTAATTTCAGACACTATTGCAGACCAAAATTACTTCTAGTTTTCTATTTAGAAATATATAAACTATTATATTATTATCCCTTCAAAATGTGTTTGAAAATATAGACACTTTCTTCCCGTTATACCCACAAACAAGATTCTGCAAAACGATAATCTTAAAACCCCTAAATAACGAATAACTAAAATCATTACGGCTTCAGTGCATTTAAATCAAGAATTTAACAATTTCAACCCTTCTTTCCCAGATTTAACTCATCTAATTATGCCCATCTTTACACACTCAGTATAAATATAGTGCAGCTCAGATCATTTTCGTATTGAAATATCGGGGATACTGACCTGGGCAATGTTGATTATGGATTGCCTGAACTTGGGGTTTAGGCCCGCCTCTTTTTTGATGCGTTTGCCAATGGGTTTGCATAGCGTTTTCAGTGCAAGTGTGCCCAGCTTGAACACTGGCAATATCATCCCTACTCGCAAACTCAAAACTATATGCGAATAATTTAATATATTTATGTGTGTATATGTATTGATGCCTAGGTTTGGGATTCGAGAGGAAACCAAGTACACAACAGGTGCTCGATGTAATGACTAAGCCCGTTTGGCCCATTTATTTTTCATTCCATTACATTTTATTTTTCTCTCCCTTATTTTCAAGTGCATAATCTTTCATAAAATAATATTTCACATAAATCAGTCGCCCGAGTCATAGTCCAATGGGGCAAAGGACAGAAGTGGGGTTATCTCACGCCCTGCTGACAACCGCAGTGTGGGAGTTCGATTCTTGAGACATGTAATTTGAATTCTTGTAGGCGCAGTGTACAGACAGCTCTTATTCTCTAATCCATTGAGACACGTCCCACAATTCACCTCCCTCACAAAGTTCTAGAAGCAGAACGGTAGGAGCCCTCAAAGTTAGAGTTCAACCTTTATATTACACATAAATCGAAAACTTTTCCTTTTTTTTCAACTACTCATTTAAAAAAAAATCATTCCATTCATTTTCATTTTTACAAAATGGGGGCCAAACGGGGGCTAAGAAAGCAAATCAATTGCATTTGGTGATCTTAAAAATGAAATCAAAGTTCTAAAATGCGTAACGTGGAGCAATGAATTTCGGGGGTTGAGTGTGAAGTACTAAAAGTATACATGTGCTTAAACATAATTATGTATTATTTATTTTTTAATATTATTTCAAATATTCTAAACTAATAAACAAATAAAATAATACATTCTTTTAAGGAAAAACTGCAGTCGAGGTATCAAATCTTTTGTTTATTAGAAGATTTTGCCCAAACCTTTCATTTGTACTACTGTGAGTACCAAACCTTTAAAAAATGTATAGCTCAAGTCTATATTGACAATTTTCATTAGTTTGACCTCAAAAATCATCACTTGACCCCAGAAATTAAAAATTTAATAATTTCCCCCAAAATAAGGTAAGGGCATTTTGGAGATAATACATTTCCCCTATTAAAATAAAAATTAAAAAAGGAAAAAAGCAAAACCACAACCACCCACCCCCTTCTCCTTCTTCCCTAACCCCCAGTTACCCCCTCACAAACGACTTTCTACCTGTCGAAGCCATCTCCGGCACCACCACCTCAAATTGTGCTTCACCTGGACGACTGCATCTTCACTCTCATAAATGAAAGCCTACTCCACTGTCGCCGGATGTTCCTCCATAACAGTGCTAATCTTAGTCGGAGTTGGTATTGAGGCAAATTCCAACAGTGGAGGCATTTTAACTGAAATTAAATTCTCATATTCAACGGACTATTGTAACAACCACTGTATAGTTTCTCCATCAGATTTGTGTCCCGATTCTCTGGTTAGCTGAAAAATTCTAGCAGTACAAAGGGCAGACATCTTTATCCTCCTCCCTCTGCCTTCAACTTTCATGTGCCTATCGTTATTCGAGCTTCTTTTGGGTGCCAGTGCCTGTTTTTTCCCTTCTTCTTTCTCTACAACCACAATCTAAAAATCTCTCATCTCTGCCGCCTTAATCTTGCCCATCCTCGGGCTATTATTTAAGAAACTAGACACCTCCTATGGCTGCTTTGAGCCCTTGGGATCCATGATTTTTACACAAGAAATTACAAAAAAATAGCAAAAAAATCAGTATAAAGAAAAGGGGTTGTGCGATGCAAGAATTGTTGAAGCAAACCACATGCTATTTGATTTCATGAATCCTTCCGTTCGAATCGTCAATGAATCAAGGTTTTATAAGATCATTAAGCTTTTCTTGTTGATGAGTATTGTTGAGTGGGCAGTGGTGGTGATGCCAGTGGGTAGTGGTGGCTGCCGGCGATGAATGTGGTGGTTGGATGGAGTGGTTTTGATTTGGGGAAGAAGGAGATGGGAATGGATTGTGGTTTTATTATTTTTTTAATTTTTGATTTAATAGGGGAAATGTATTATGTCCAAAATGCCCTCACCTTATTTTGGGAAAATTATTAAATTTTTAATTTCTGGGGTCAATTGACAGTCTTTAAGGTCAAACTAACGGAAACTGTCAATTTAGACTTGAGCTGCACATTTTTTAAAGGTTTGGTACTCACAGTGGCACAAATGAAAGGTTTGGTACCTTGACTGCAATTTTTCCTTCTTTTAACTTTGCATATATTCTTGAATTAAATGTTTTATCAGTCATTGAACTTTGCACTTCGTCACGATTTACTCACCAACCTTTAAGCTTTTCAGTGGTCGCTGAATTTAGGTAAGTTGCACTCCATCAATCACCGAATGAATTCTGTCACTAGTTATGTCTACGTAAAAAACAAAAAAAAAAAGGCATGATCATTAAAATTGTTTAGTTGTTAAACCAAATGCACACATGGACTCCAAGTCAGCTAAACACACCTTGTCTTCCTTTCCTTTCCCCTTCTCAACTACCAATGGGTAATTTTTGCTAGGAGCCGCCACTCCTTACTTCACAAACCACGCCCTATATTGACAACTCAATCCCCACACATACTCCCAACAACTAATTGGACAAAAAAATTAATAGAAGATCATAATCAGCAATAGGAACATCAGGATTCGCGTCTCCCAATCCCAATTTCATCAATTCTAGCACCGTTTATGGGTCCTATGATCGCGGACCTATGCCTTCGGAGTTACAGCACCATGCCGCCTTTATTCCAACCATGGGTCAACACTATTTGACCTCCAGTAAGTCAACAGAAACAACCTTCATTTTTAGATTCTCGCTTCTTTGTGTTATTTGAGGCTTCGATAGAATCGTACGATACTTCACTTACTGCTATGCAGGGGCGGATCCAGAATTTTCGATAAGGGGGACTAAAGTTAAAAAAAAGTCAATGCAATCAAATTTTTGGTAAATGACACAAAAACTGTGCACAATCATTAGGACTGAAAACTGAAGAAAAATTAATTATATTTTTCGAAAGAGATGAAACCATTGAATCTTCATTTAGGCATCCGATCATACAATGAAACCAATTCAATATCTAACAGAACATATTTTAATCATCAACAATTCAAAACATCATCACTTTTTTAACAGGTAATGCACATTTGTTCCAAGAAAGCATTTTCAGCAACAAAGATATTGTCACCAGCTAGCATATATGCTCGGTGGTTTAGTGAATATGGTTGTACAGCAGACGTCTTTAGCCAAATCTCATGTAGGCAAGAATTTTTTATCTATTTCAAAGATAGAACCATTGTACGATACCACAAAAATCAACCCCTTCAAAGAAACTCCATAGAAACAACCTTCACCGACCAAACAAATACATAACAAAATGGAATATAACACACAAATAGAAATAAAATAACAAGAAAGTAGCTATCAAGAAAAAATAAACACCATTATGCAAATTGGAAGAACACGATGAACGAGAACCAATCAAGATTACGTAAAGTAGGAATAAAGATTAAATGAATTGAACCATGTGCCTAAGTGTTGGAAAAATGAGTAAATTGGCTCAATTTTGGCACAATTTTCGATGGGACCCGTTGGTCCAATTTGGAATATCAAAGTTGATATGTGTTCTCCTCCGCGAGAACATCGAAGTCATGTATTTATTTACCAAAAATGAAGCTCGGGTGGATAAGAAATTGGAACCTAAAGTGGACCGTTGGAAATGGCCTATGTTGGTGGAAAAACTTTCTCCGACATAGGAAAAACATGGAAACCAAAATCACTTTATATATGGCTATGCATTGGAATGGTGTGATCATGTGTAGCATAGATGTTCTCTCCACGTGCGCGCGCAAGGAAGGGGTGCAAATCACGGATAGAAATAGCATTCGGACCTTGAACTTGAGTGCGGAGGCGACCTGCGCACACGAATGTCGGATCGAACGGAGCAAAAACTGGACAATCTTTTTTGTGGTTTTTCCAAATGACTTTTGAGTGTCTGAAACTCCTAAAACTCCAATGGTCGAAACCGAAATGTAACTCCAAAAATTGCAATGGTTAATACAGAAAACTAAGGGTCAAATTCAGTCTATATAATTCACTCAATTTCCAGCAGTTCATATACTGAAATTTTCGTCTTCAATTTCCATTCTTGTTTTTTGTTTTGTTCCGTCTCATTCCAATAAGGTGATATTGTTCGAACACTCGCCCAGTTCGCCGAAGTAGAATCGCGATGCTCGGATTCTGCTAGTTGCTGTTGTATCCTGAAAGACATGCGCTTGAACTAAACATTTAGCACCACGGCGAGGGGGCGAATTTATCTTAAGAAAATTGTGTTTACACAGGCCTCAGGTTGAAATTATATATGTCATTTATTTAGTTTTCAATTTTGCAGATTTATTTGATTTGCAACGTACTTGAAATTTATGTTAGAAATAGATAAATAAAATAAACTATTTTTTTCTAATTTATCATATGTGTGAAAAATAGATTTCACATATAGGATATTTCTATTTGTAAGTGAAAAAATTTGTGTTATTTTAGTTAGTGTATGAATAAAAACACTTTATGCAAATTTTTGTGCAAATACGGTGAGCTTCGCCTGCAAATACAGTAAGCTGTCATATATGGTGAGTTGCACTGTCAAATACGGTGAGATGCAAATACGTTGAGTTGCACTGTCATATACGGTAAGCAATTGCCAAATACGGTAAGTGTGAATTCGGTGTCTAAAACACAAATACGGTATATGAGAACCCGATTCCACTCCAAACACTACCGATTAAATTTACCAACAAACTTAAGACAAATTTCTTAATACGTATTGGTAGTAAACAAGTTTATTTGTTTATTGGAAACTAATAATTGTTTCAATTTCAGAAATGGCTGCCGAACCAACCAACATGGATGTGACCCAAACTGTTCCTGCTGGAAATGAAGTTATGGGCTCTACTATGGCTCAAGGGCCAAACTCTGCTGTGGCTAACTTGCCTAGTCGTGTTGTGAGTCAAACTATGGCTCCAACAACTGGCCAAACGGTTACTGTTTCGGTTAATCATGGAGAGAAACCAGAGAAATTCAATGGCTTGAATTTCAAGAGGTGGCAGCAGAAAATGCTGTTTTACCTGACCACCTTGAATCTTGCGAGATTCTTGACTGAGACTGCTCCTGTACTCAATGAAGGAGAAGGAGATATTCAAGCAGT